ACTCATGACCAGAGCACGGAACAGAATGGATTCAACCGGTCGATCTTCCAATGTCAATCAATCCACTGGATGGTACGTAAGTTGGGCTGGCAAGTGTGTGCAATCTACGGCTTCGCTGAATGTTCTATTCTGCTGGAACGGACTGGAACATAAATTTTGCATTGGATCCTGGTTTTGTATGAACTGAAAATGTGTTTATAGACGTCAAAACAAGAAAAAGCTTTTGCGAATCCAAACATACGACAATTATGCACAAGGTATCATCTGTTAGAATGATCATCTGCAAAACAATCCAGAAATACGGGCGAACTATTTCGCTTTCAGTTGGGAAAACAAGTGGAATCACCTATCCAACTGCGGTAGCATTTGATACTGGAGCGCTTCTGGGGACTACTTCAACCAGTTTCATGGCTGCCCCATGACTGACAAGGAAGCTTGCATAAAAAGCAAACAAAACTGTTGCCGAACTTTCGACAACCCGAAACCCAATGTTCATCTGATCCTCACGGGCAAACAGTTCAGACTGGATACCGTGAAGGTCGCCGCCCAAATGGGCCCAATCCGAACTACGTCAATTGTGAAGTGCATGTGCGAAGAACATTATGCATATGGATAAGACAGCAGTAATAGCCTTATCTCGCGTAGAAAAACCAGGACAGGAGAGAAAGATGCGTCGATATTTCGGCAAGATGCATGTATCGCAACGAATAACTGTAGTAAATTCAAAATTGTCTGCCGATCCTACTCGGTTTTTCAAGTTTTTTTTTGTAACAGCGAGCTACGACTTTTATAGGTCATGAACAGTCAGGCGATTGAACAAGAACATAAACACGAACTTGTGTGAACGCGTGGGAGGGCCATAGTCTATGTCGGGAGTCCATGTGCGCTGTTCATTGGAGAAATAATAAACACCTGCGAGACGCTAAAAACAAAACAGGGAATACATCTTTCGGTGACCTTTTTCGGCGACACACGCTCAGGCTGAAAGCCAGGGAGGTATAGACCCCAGACCTCGTTTACAGTTATGTCATCTACAGAGCACAGGACCATCCAGACAGGAAAATATGTGAATTTATTCGTATCAAAGGTCGGCGACCAGACCTTAACGCACAAGGCTCATCGAGGCTGCTCATGCAAATGTGATAAGTGCCTTGATACGTGATGCGTGTTAGCTTAACATTGTTTACATGTGTGAGTGATACCTGACGCGTGATGCGCGACGCCTGTTTATTTAAAATCGTTTGCATGTATAAGTGAAGTGTGATGCCTGCTTATTTGAAATCGCTCACATGTTTTGATGAAGCGCGACGCGTGGTACCTGTTAACTCGAATTCATTTGCGTATACACGTATGTTTCGCGTGTACTAATTCCTAGTCAGCGATGCATTGCATCGTAGTAATGGCTAGCAATTGCTCCTTGTTTGATCCCGCCGAATGTCGGTGACCTGTAGGACAGTGGCTCGCTGTTTAAATAAAAATCGGGTAGTGTTGGCATTACATTTTGAATGCACTACCATTATTCGCCTCGATACAGGCACGCACGTTGCCGAAATATCAACGCATCTATTTCTCCTTTCTCCTAGTTTGTCTACGAGGAATGAGGCTATTACTACTGTCTTATCTGTATTGGCTATATGGATGCAATTGGCATTGACTGCGAGGTTCTGGTGTGTGTGTGTGTGTGTGTGTGCGTGCGTGCGTGCGTGCGTGCGTGCGTGCGTGCGTGCGTGCGTGCGTGTGCGTGTGTGTGTGTGTGTGTGTGTGTGTGTGTGTGTGTGTGTGTAGAAATCAACTTGATCATGCGCACAGCTTGCTAAGAGCGGAGTTGGGCTTGGTAACGCATGGCTCTAGGCAGTAGACATTTGCTCTGACATATGAACGTGACTTACTACAGCAATGATTACATCTTGTCGAATCCGGAGTACCAAGGCTCATCATAGGAGTTTACATCATGGAGGAATTCATATCTGACGAGCACCAGAATGCATACACACAACATAAACATGGTCGGACGCCCCGCACGTCAACACTAGATTGACCCTCGCCCCGATCCGCAGTTTTACATGACGAGTACTGATGGGAAGGGGAATCGATGCGACCCCCTGGTGTTTTCAAACTAATGGATATAAAGCTTGACGGAAAACACCAGTGGAATGGTCTCAAGAAGAGCCCACGATTGGTGCTAGTTTGCATGCTGCTAGGTCAATTATTGACTCCATTATGCCAGGTCAAAAGCCACGATTTCCGAAAATCGCACTTTTCAGCCTCACATCATACATACGAGATCATGCCTGCCGGCGATACGAGCACCAAACACGTGTGTTAATCGTTCAACTTTAAGTGCAATGGTACATATGTTATGTCGCTGGAGCACATCTTACATGGCTCCTTTGATGTAAAAATGGCGGCCGGCCGTGCCCGTTACGCGGTGCTGTCGGTTGCCGTCCGCCGTCCGCGCCGGCCGCGGAGCTCCGTGCAGTGTTGCTCAGGAGACGCCACTGCTCCGGAACCAGGAGAACTATGTTAAGTTCCACGCGTTTTTTCAGCACGCTCAATTTTAGCGTAACAGTTTTGGTGTCAAAACACGCGCAATGAATGCCTCATACGCAACTGGATATGTGGATGCGATTGCACAACAGGCCAGAGTGGCATCCTCAAAAAACCTTAGGGATTCGCATCGACCCCCTCCTACCAGGGTGATGGTTAATGGCATTTGCTCCATGGCGAGATGTATCATCGTGCACTTGCAAAGTGGAGGTCCGCTCTCTAACACAGAGCAGCACCACAGTGAATGTTTAACCCGTCCCACCACGATAGAAAACAATTTGAGCTACAGCAAGAATTAGACATTTGGTCGCGCTGGAAGCGATCTTTTTTTCGAGAGATCGACCCCTTGATCAATCAGCAGGTGAATGCTCGCTGAACCCTGCGCTGTCTGAGGGCATCGACTGGGGACGATGTCGCTGCCTTGCAGCGCAAGCGTTGCATTCCTTGCCGTGCATGTTTTGCTCCAGATAGGCTTGTGGTGTATGCATACTGTTACGAATGTCAAAAATCCTGTGGCCAAAATTGACGCCAGCTTGTTTGAACTCAAAGCCAGAGAATGACCCCTCTTCAAGAATTACTCTCAGTCAGTTGTCAAAACTGGGAAGTCTCCTCTATTTTGGTTAACACAAAGCCGGCGCACAACAACCGAAGTCATGGACGTGTAGCCAACAGAAGGCAGAACAAATAAACTGGCATGACTCACCAGGCCTGAGCGGGGCGCGTGTGCCCCATGTTTACCCCCGTCGGGAGGGGTGCGGCGACAGTCCGCCATGTCCGCCGGCGCGTCCGCCGCCGTCCCCCCGCGGTGGAAGATGATTTCACAGCGGGGGAGGCGCCGGCCGCCTCTCCCCCGTCCGCGGCGCCGAGTTTGGACCCTAACGACGCCTGCTATCGGCGCTGGGAGCCCGTCGCCGACCCCCGGGCTGACCACCCCCTCTCAGCGTCGACGAAGGTAGACTTGACGGCACGCGGGAGGCCAGCTCCGAGCTTGGTGCAGCAGGCTCAGTGATAACCGTGCGGATACTGACGATTTATTTACTTAGCCTCAACGTGGTATTGCCACTGCTTCTCTGTACACGGACTAAGAATATCATGATTCGTCTTCTACTTAGCCCAGGACGGTGTGCGGCATGCCGTCCTCCTCAGACGGCAGCTGACGTAGCACGTGGCGACAGATCTGCGCTTGGGGCGCTCTAGTTGGACAGACACGATCTTCGTGACCCTAACCACGGAAATGATAAGCACACATGTCTAAATACACTAATGCGTCGTAAAGCTGAAGTTAGCATGCGTAGTTCCTAGAGGCCGCACCCCTGCACCTGCCACTTGGACTCCCACGCCTACCGTACCGACAAGGCAAAGCACAAAACCAGAACACAAAGCCGGGTTCAACTCGAGCCCGGTCGTCACCTCATCTGTGCTTTACAGAAAGGAATCAAAACACACACCATTTAACGCCCTACATGGCGCAGCTCCGCGGCGTTACACGCCGTGTTCAGAGTTTCACGTTTCAAAGCGCCGCGATTTACACCGGTTCGTGTCGGCGCGGGGCCAGCGCTGAAGCGGTGCAACGCTCGGGCTCGAGGCGGCACCAGACAGCTGCGACCCTCGAGCCCGGCGTGCATGCGACCTCAGCCGGTCCAGCGTCAGCCCGCGTCGGGCCGGCGCTCAGTGGGGGTGATGCCTGATCGGCGGCGGGGTTCGTCTCCAGTTCAGCGGCGGCCCCCCGTCCAGCTGGCGCCGGTCAGTTGACGTCGCCGCGGGTTGGCATTAGAGCCCCTCGTCTCTGGGGTGTCGGGACGCACGGGTCGCCGCGGCCGGGCCCAAGGGGAGGCGGGCCACCTCCGAGACCGGCCACGGCGGCGCGCGCCGGCGCGGCGTCAGACTATTCGGCCACGGGCAGACACCTGCACGTCAGGTGCCACTTCCGCGACCACCTCACGTGGGAAGCGTGGCTGCAATCTTTGTCATTATCGCCCCAAAGGTCCCAGCTAATACGAGAACCCAGATGTTGGCCAGGTATCACGCATATTCCAGGGAGATACCTATACTCTGATGATGTCAACCACTGGTTCAACGAGCACTACCCAACAGCCAACCTGCGTATTTCTGCTGGCTAATGGGCCATTGTGGGCAATTGTGTTGTGGGCATCCAGAAAACTGAGAGCAATTATTATGCCTGAGTAGGAAACCAAGCAATGACCGATTTCACACAACAAACCATCTGCATATGCTCGCTATAAGATATTGCTCTCATCTCAACTCACGTGGAAGAAGCACGCACAAAGGACCAGTTAATTTTCAATCCCGTTAGGATGATATTAATCCGTATTAGGGGGAAGCGTGGTGCAGGGAGACAAATCGACGACTCAAGAGTCGGTGAGCGACACTCGGTCGCAGCACTAACCCCCCCCCCCCCCTCCCCCGCGCCTCCGTCCCCCGTCCCCAGCCCCAGCGCTGGTAACACATCTCAGCACCGTCTGATCGTGATCAGCACAACCCCAGGCACAACCGACTCGGCCACGCCGCCCGGCTCCGCCGCGGCCGGCCGGCTGACGGGCGCGGCACGGCCGCCGGCTCCGGCCCCGCCAGCGGAGCCCACTGCCAGCGGAGCCGGCGGCCACTCAGCAGCCCGCGCTATCACAGAGGGGGCGTCGCTCGAGCCGTCCATCAGCCCCTCAGGCACGCAGCTGCAGCCAGTCGAGCGCCGCCTCCAGCTGGGCGTACGTCAGCCGACAAAGGAAGGTGTGCACCAGCACGTGCTCCAGGCGGTCGTCGCGCGAAGCTGGCGCGCGCCACTCGCACATCACCTTGGCCGTCAGCGTCAGCAGCCACTCCTTGATCTGCGGAGCGGCGGCAGGGCGTCAGCACACTCGGCACGCCGCACCGGAGTTCGTGAAATCCGTGCGGCGCCCTGAAAGCCAACACTGTCCGCTGGGCTTTAGTGAGAGACCGTTCTCAAGGAAAGGAAGTCATTAGTGCGGCCGGTTGGCGTCCATCTCCCGACACGGAGCGGTTCAGGCTAGCATGTTGCATCAGCTGTCAGCATGTCCGACACAGTGGCATTTCATTTAAGGTGCCGAAGTCGTGGGCGCTGTCGTACAAACAAAAGGGCTGCGATGACCCCCACCAGAGCGCAGCATATTGACTGGCACCGGAACACAGTGAAGTAGCTTTAGCTCGGAACCATGCGGACCGGGAACGGTGAGACGCGCCCGCCAGAGAACCTCCTTCGTCAGTGTTACTACGACGAGGCGCGCCAACCATGGATCCCGTATCTATTCGTAGCACTCAACGTATGCTACAGCCACCCTAGCGAGTAGATCTGGGCCAACACATCTTGGTAAGGCATTTTTGTGTGGTGCATAGACGGTCTTGAATGCTAAACTACATGCCGATGATGTTACACCAAGCAGACCCATGAGGGTACGATCTTGTCAAACATACACTTCTGAGGATACAATCCTACACACAACCGGCCGTCGCAGGCCTGGGGCAGCGGCTCGGCGCCGGCGCCGGCGCACGTACCCGTTGGTGTGAGGGCCGCGCCGCAAGCCAGGCCTTGGGTGCCCACAGCAGCAGCTGGCAGACGGTGGCCGCCGTGCTGGCCGACACGCGCTGGGGGCGGCCGCACACCGTTAGTCTCCACAATAGCCAAGCCAGTCACCGCATGGAAAACGCCAGCCTAATTAGCACCCGAGTGGCTGAACCTCGCCATACTGAACAGCCCGTCGGGTTCCTTACTGCACCACCCAGCAGGCCCCATTCTTCGACGCCGCCGCAGCCGCCGACGCCCACAGCGCTCATACAATCCGCACATAGGCTGGGATCGTGTACTAGGATCTGATTCGCGCCGAGGATCAGCGGCGAGGAACCCATTTCGCATTCAGCGAGTCGCGGTAAATGGCAACGCTAAAATTCGAATTACAGCTCAAACAACCATTCGGCAAGTCGCGGTAAATGACAACGCTAAAATTCGAATTACAGCTCAAATAACCATTCGGCGAGTCGCGGTAAATGACAACGCTAAAATTCGAATTACGGCTCAAACCACCATTTATACATGCTCCTATCCATATCAGAGTGTATATGATCCCACTGACATATTTGCTACACATCCTCACTCAAGACAAAATTCCCAGCACAGTTTTCCCCATTCAGTGTACGTGCTTCCGCCTGACAAAATCTCTATCCACAAGCAACCTTCCCGACTCAGTTTGCCAGCAGTGCTAACAGCAATGAGTGAGTTGATGACAACAAATCTGATGGGTGTTTCGATGTCTTCAAATGTGAAACATTCCCTTTAAGATGAGTGAAGCTCTGAGTGAAAAACTGAATGCCAATCATGACATCAAGATCACAGCATTATTTCCAAATATATACACCGAAGCTAAGCGATCCCCAACCTAACAATGCACTTAGCAGGGCCTGCAGGACAAATGGGTAGTGGCGCCGCCTAGTAGCGGCCAAATAAACTTGTGATGAACAGACGTGCCGTGACTTGGGCGTATTTAAACAATGTCCATTCCTTTACATAAATCACGCAGTTTAAGGACTCTACCAATACCCAACAACTAAGAGTAATACTGCATATATATATATATATATATATATATATATATATATATATATATATTCCACGAACAACGCTATCGTGGCACAGTACGTATTTGCTGAGTGGCAAGGCAACCTCGGACACCATCAGCCACACATCTACTTCCGTGTTCACTGCTACCAGCGCAGGCGGCAGTTTGTTGCTGATCCGCGGTGCTCAGTGTTACAGGGCCAGCCGTGGCCGCCAGCTGTGACACACCGTGCCCGTCGGCGCGCCAGCGCGGGCCCGCGAGCGTGCCACTGACCGCTCACCTCCGCCGGCGAGCGGCGCAGCATGGCCGCCACCAGGAGGCGCAGCAGCGGCGGCACGGCCTCCGGCAGCGGCGGCAGCTCCGACTCGGCGTAGGTGACGCTGTCGAGCCGGTCGGCGCCGTAGAAGGGGTTGGCGCCGCCCAGGATCTCGTGCGCGATGGCGCCGACCGCCCACACGTCCGCCTGGCTGAAGTCGAGCCACGCGAACCGGCCCGGCCGGCCGGCGGCGATCTGACGGGCACCAAGGGCACAGGTGACAGGTGTACGCGCCGCACCGCCGCGGCCCGGCCAGGTCAGAGTGTCCTTCTTCAACGCGCCAGCTAATCACAGGTATCGTCATCGAACCGACAGCAGATAATGATCAACAATAGCATATCTCTCGAACTACCTCCGTGAGTATTTTATCCATGTCGCTTCGGCCACTTCTATCCCAGGAGGTGAGGGGCAGCACACCCACCTCGGGCGGCATGAGGGCCACGTTGCCGCCGCGGTCCACGTCCCACGAGTTGAAGGGTACGGCCAGGCGGCCGTCCGGCTCGGCCAGGCAGCAGCCGAAGTCGGCGATCACCAGGCGCGGCTGCTGGCGGCCGCCGCCCAGATCCACCAGCACGTTATCCGTCTTCAGGTCCCTGCCGGCGCCACGGACACGTCAGCCGGCCAGCCGGTCAGCCGGCCGGGGGCCACGTGCGCTACATCTCAGGCACCGGCATCGCACGCGCCGGCCCGCATCATGAGAGAATATGCGGTAATACGGTGACTCAATACGAATGTGACTGTGAAATTCCGCCCTGTTTCCCTGTCTGGCAGCCCTGAATAGGTGACCAGGATTCAGGAATCCCACGATAGGAATAGGTGACCCCACCTGCATCCTCCGCGCGATACTGAGACTCGTGCCCTATTACATCTGTAAGAACAATACAGGTGAACATCGCGGCACTCCTGCTAGAAATGTGAAAGAGAACAAAGCAACAATGGGATCACGGCGCGGAGGTAGCGGCTGACAGAGTTTAAAGGTACTGGCGGTAGCCTGCGGTTGGTAATGGTTATTGTGATGGCAATTCACGCATACAATAATGATAAAAATGAAAGCGGTCTTTTATCACATCCCATTGTAAATGGTCCAACTGAAATCAAAACAGTTATTTTTAAAGTTAATTGAGACCAGCAAGACGACTTTCCACCACTTCAGTAAGGTTTCAATTTAGAGCGTTAGGAGCTCCATATTCTTAGCGCAGCATTACTCTGAACGTAAGTCACCATTTAGTATTTTCCTACCAACTCACCTAACTTCCACAGAAATTACACAACACTACGTCAACATCTGTGGGCCAAGCATTCATTGCAGTTTGGGAGCTTTTATGTTTAAATCGCTGACCTACCTGGACGTTGGTTGGTTCTGGATTAAAAAACGTCTCACATACTTCGTTGCATGCAGTTGGCAATGTCTGATATATTTTTGAATAACTACACCTTGGTTCATTTCTATAACTATTGTCTGACAATTATTTGCGAGTGGGTGGTGGCGGGGAGAGGCAAGTGTTCGCTTGCGTCTGCGTGCGTGCGTGCGTGCGTGCGAACGCGCGCGCGCGCGCGCGACCTCAGTAGGAGCGGGCGCACGGCGCCGGGCCGGCGGAGTCCGCACCTGTGCACCACACGGTGCCGACCGAGGTGGGCCACACCCTCCAGCAGCTGGCTGAGCAGCAGCAGGCGTGTATGCGCCGACAGTTCGCTCGTCTCCAGGTAGTGACGCAGGTTGTCGTCGTATCTGGCGAGGACATCAGGTGTAGGCCACGGTCGGCTGACCGCAATACATACATTTTATCTTTTCGCGTCTTTAATTTATTTTACACGTGTTTTTATAACCTTACGTCTTTCAGTGGTAGACAGCACAAGTGCGTTAAGGCGCGCACAACAGATACGACCCCCAACCGCACATGGCCGGACGGGAAGCCAACGTGGTGGACTTAACATACATAACAAAATAGCCGAGTTTGGTTTCGGACGCCGACAGTTTCGATTGACCCTAGACTTTATCAGTTCTGTATTGACCACAGCCCTAGCAGCAACTAACACAGGACACACATTTGCAACACCACATAACACAAAACGCATACCAGAACCTACGGTACGACTGCAACCGGCGAATACTGCAGGCTTTATTTTACCAATGAACAAACAAAGTGAATGCTTACATTTCCCTGGCAAAGCGTGGTTCCGCACACGCCCACTAGGCAGCCTAGTTTAAGGGTGGCGCGGAGCACCCGCCCGCCCCATTCCCCCGGGTTTGGTCTCAGCCCGCCCGTCCCTGGTCCCATCCCAGCCCACCCATCCCTAGTCCCGCTCCAACCCATCCGTCCCTGGTCTCGTTCTAGCCCGCCTGTTCCTGGTCCCGTCCCAGCCCACCCGACCCTGGCCCCGTCCCTGGTCCCGTCCCTGGTCCCGTCTCAGCCCGCCCGTCCCTGGCCCCGTCCCTGGTCCCGTCCCTGGCCCCGTCCCAGCCCGCCCGTCCCTGGTCCCGTCCCTGGTCCCGTCTCAGCCCGCCAGTCCCTGGTCCCGTCCCTGGTCCCGTCCCTGGCCCCGTCCCAGCCCGCCCGTCCCTGGCCCCGTCCCTGGCCCCGTCTCTGGCCCCGTCCCTGGTCCCGTCCCAGCCCACCCGTCTCTGGTTCCGTCTGCCCGCCCCGTGACACTCACCGCTTCATGACGACGAAGAGGCTGGCGTTGCGTCCGGCGCCGGCCGGATGGAGGCGCGGCGGCAGCGCGGCCGGGTAGGCGGCCACAGCGCCCGCCAGCAGCGGTACCCGGTCCACGAATACGTCCCGGATGGAGACCAGATTACGGTGCGACGGTAGGTCGGCCAGTCGCAAGCCAAACCTGGTGGCCCCGATTCCGTCACCCACACACTAACACGGCCGGCACGACTCCGACCCCGGGCCCGTCACCCCCACACTCACAGCTCCGGCCCCGAGTCCGTCACTCACACACTCACACGGCCGGCACGACTCCGGCCCCATTACCCACACACTCTTACGGCCGGCACAGCTCGACAGCTCTATGACACGCCGCGACCGCGCGCCGCCGCTGCACCTACCGGGCCACCATCTGGCGGACGTCCTCCGAAACGCTGGCGAACGGAGCCGGCACCACCTCGCGGTACATGGCGCGCAGGATGCTAGATGCGTTACTCTCGGCGTCGTAGTTGAACATCATCTTGACGGCCAGGTTCCAGCCTCTGCCGTCCGTGTCTGCCGGTGGCAGGTGAAAGTCGGGCGACGTCAACCCAAAGCCCGCCTGACCCCTCCCCCTTCCCCAGCTCGTGCACCGCCCTCCGCGGCAAGCTCACCACACAGTCAAACCAACATCGGATCCACGACATGCGGGGAGACCAAGACATACTTTCTTAAGGCGCAAACCTAGACACGGATCTGGGAAAACCATACGAAGACAAACGACCAGTTTGAATGAAATCAGCGGACTGTCCGTGCGAGCTGACGCAAGCCTCAGCACTGCCGTTTGGTCACCTTTGATTCTGGCTTTGTAGACGACGGCGTTGCAGCCCTTGGCAATCTCCTCTCCGATGTCTAGCTGGTCCAGCTGCTGCACATTACTGCCGTCGGCGCATTCGCAATCGTCGTTCAGCCACTGCATGGTCTGCACAAACTTCTGGGGACGGCACAGACACTGACGTCAGCGGGGCTTCTGGGGACGGCACGGAGACACTGGTGTCAGCAGGGCTTCTGGGGACGGCACGGAGACACTGGTGTCAGCAGGGCTTCTGGGGACGGTACGGAGACACTGACGTCAGCAGGACTTCTGGGGACGGCACGGAGACACTGGTGTCAGCAGGGCTTCTGGGAACGGCACGGAGACACTGGCGTCAGCAGGGTTTCTGGGGACGGCACAGGGGCACTGGTGTCAGCAGGGCTTCTGGGGACGGCACGGAGACACTGGCGTCAGCAGGGCTTCTGGGGACGGCACAGGGGCACTGGTGTCAGCAGGGCTTCTGGGGACGGCACGGAGACACTGGCGTCAGCAGGGCTTCTGGGGACGGCACAGGGGCACTGGTGTCAGCAGGGCTTCTGGGGACGGCACGGAGACACTGACGTCAGCAGGGCTTCTGGGGACGGCACAGGGCACTGGTGTCAGCAGGGCTTCTGGGGGCGGCACGGAGACACTGGCGTCAGCAGGGCTTCTGGGGACGGCATAGACACTGGCGTCAGCAGGGCTTCTGGGGACGGCACGGAGACACTGGCGTCAGCAGGGCTTCTGGGGACGGCACAGGGGCACTGGCGTCAGCAGGGCTTCTGGGGACGGCACGGAGACACTGGCGTCAGCAGGGCTTCTGGGGACGGCACGGAGACACTGGTGTCAGCAGGGCTTCTGGGGACGGCACGGAGACACTGGCGTCAGCAGGGCTTCTGGGGACGGCACAGGGGCACTGGTGTCAGCAGGGCTTCTGGGGACGGCACGGAGACACTGGCGTCAGCAGGGCTTCTGGGGACGGCACAGGGGCACTGGCAGCAGCGGGTCTTCTGGGGACGGCATAGACATTGGCATGAACGGGTGTTCTGGGGACGACACAGCGACAGTGGCGGCAGCGAGGCTTCTGAGGATGGCACAAAAGCACAGGCGTCAGTGGGTCTGGACTGGCGGTGACAAAGAAACAAGGGTTTCTTTTTTCTTGTGAGGAGTATGTTCTTCTGCGGGGAGACAGCAAAAAGATAACGCATGCGGGGGCATACGGGGACGTACGGGGAGAAAAAATAACAGCTTACCAAGCATCCCCTTACCAATCAATGTCCAGTAGCATCATATATGGGAAACACTGGAAACTTGTCACCTGACTCTGCACAATTTCGAATGCTAGCGTGACGTCGCTGTGATGTCGAGACTTTTCTGTGCTGGCTACGTTTTACCATGACTGGTGAGGTATGTACTCGTGCGTCACGAAGACACAGATCGACATGGGGTACGCGGACCACATCAGGACAACGTCCGGAGCTCTGCGGCGGTCGACGCTCCGGCAGATTCGCCCCCTACCTTGATGTCAGAGCAGAGCACCTCCATGCGGTCCGCTTTGGTGACGAGGCCGTCGTCGCCCGTCAGCGTGATGCCGACAAACGCCACCAGGGTGCGCGTGCCGCCGCTGAAGAGGAGGCGCCGCGCCAGGTCCTTGCACTGGTGTGAGAGCAGCCGGCTGGAGGGCGTCACCAGACTGCTCACCAGCTGGCGCGTCACCCATCGCACCTGGCCGTCGCAGCACCACCGGTCAGAGGCGGGGCCGGGGCAGGGTGTGGACGGACCCGGGCCGCCGCAGCGTCACCGGTCAGAGGCGGGGCCGGGGCAGGGCATGGACGGACCCGGGCCGCCGCAGCGCCATCGGGCAGAAGTGGGGCTGGGGCTGGGGCTGGGACCGGGACCGGGGCCGGGGCCGGGGCCGGGGCCGGGGCCGGGGCCGGGGCCGGGGCCCGGGGCCGGGGCCGGGGCCGGGGCCGGGGCCGGGGCCGGGGCAGGGCATGGACGGACCCGGGCCGCCGCAGCGTCACCCGTCAGAGGCGGGGCCGGGGCAGGGCATGGACGGACCCGGGCCGCCGCAGCGTCACCGGTCAGAGGCGGGGCCGGGGCAGGGCATGGACGGACCTGGGCCGCCGCAGCGTCACCGGTCAGAGGCGGGGCCGGGGCAGGGCATGGACGGACCTGGGCCGCCGCAGCGTCACCGGTCAGAGGCGGGGCCGGGGCAGGGCAGGGCGGAGACAGCCGGTCCCTTGTCGGCCGCGGCGAGCACACGCCGGTTACGGAGGCCTGACGTACTGCACGTACTCTGTGCCAAACGGCAGAGGTGCGGGTGAACATGGACCACCAGACGGTCAGATCGTCACAAAGGCGTTCCAACGTAGTGAATTCCTGGCATTGCTCGTACTCAGGCGGGCCCGCGCCCGCACACACATCGCAGATGTGAGTCGCCGGCTGGGCAGTCACGCCGGGCTCTAGGCCCCAGCAGCAGCAACGGAGCTCAGCGACCCCGACGGCCGAGCTATGGCGTCTCACCTGTTGTCTCAGGGCTGCTGTCCAGGCGACAGAGGGCTGCGGCTGGGGCGCGGTTGCGCGCTGGTGGCCGACGGAGCGCGCCCCGACGGCCGGCGGACGGCCCTGCGGCGGAGGGCCCGGCGCTCGGCAGCGTTCACTGTCGGTCAGCAGGCGCTGCACCAGCTTGTCGCGGCTGATTCTCAGCACATAGCTATGGAGCTTGCCCAGAAAGAAGTTGCCCAAGAGCATGCCCTTCATCTTAGAAGAGGCGAGATGGAAGAAAGGCTAGAAGAGGAGGAAAAAGCAGATGGCCTGAAACAAGGAACATGATCCATGACATTGATACATAAGAAGCAGATGCTGCAAGTCTGAGTGAATAAAAAAGCAATAAGCCTCTTCCTAAATCTTGCTCACATAAATAACCAGGACTGCAATGATTAAAACAGCAACAAGAAATGAACAAGGACATGGACCTAACAAGGAGCTTTACACACAGTCCAGTCCCTATGATGTGTTCAACACAAATGGTAACTGACTACAGACCCATGCAGAAAACATGTCCATAATCAGTATTCAAAACATTTTGAAACTGAGGTTGGCAATTTTGTCTGCCTGGAAAAACTCAACACAAAGGAGCTAACTCCATGGCACCAATACTACAAATGATCATTTCAGTTTGCTCAAAGATAAATTAAACTTTGCTATTAAAGCCTAACTTGCATACAATGCATGGCAGTTCCTAAGGCTCCTCTGCATATCAAAAGAAATCAGCCAATATGATAGCATGGTGCAAGTAAGGATGATTAACCCTGCCTTATGAGTTTTGAGTGCCCCTATAAAATCAGCTACAATTCCAATGACAACATAACATAACTTAAGAAGATTTGACCCTTCTCAATCAGATAAATTTTTTTCAAAATCCTTTTGGGAGGCTGAGCTCACATAACAGGAGACACAGGGAGCATGTGTAGCACTGGCAATGTGAAATACTTCAACAAAATGTCCATGAGATTTAGAAATTGATTATGTCAACATCATGCATAATTAGCTGTTACCCTTCCTTAGAAAATCTCATACAGCTCTATGCATGTGCAACAAAAACAGACAAAGCAACCAGACAGGCAAAGGCAACAATCCTACCTGATGGCTAGCTGGGTTCTCTGAGTGCAAGTGTCTAGGCAACACTTTGCAAAAAAATGAAAAACATCACTTGTCATGTACTTTTTAAGCAGCTGTCACAACCAGGCATGACTCAAGCCAGACCAGGAATTGGATGGGCTCTGAATTTGGGCCTGGCTGCTCAGTCTTTTGGGAGGCTCAAACAAGCTGATTGAATTCACAGCTGGTCTGGACCCATGACTCATCCACATACACATGACAACCTTATATGATGGAATGGTTTTATGCTGCCTGATTGAAAGAACATATGTCTAGACTATTGTGAGCCTGCATAGCACCACATTCTAACCAATGTATTCATATGTAGACCAAATGTGTCCAGCCAGTCAGGGGTCAGCATGACAATGTAGTTGTATCTATACAATGTGAACCAATGCATGCATGCACATATGTAAATACAAAATGCAGGCCTGATAAAATGCTTAATGCTTCAGAACCACCATATCCAAGAGTGTCATGATCTGTGAGTGCCTTTGCTATCAGATTGGACTAGACAATGCATCTAGGCAAGGTCACATGATAAGGGCTGGGCACCAGCAGTTAACACCCTGCAAGAAATATTAATTGCATAACAGCAGGCCATCTCCTGCCACTCTGCCTGACAACCTTATATAATGGAATGGTTCTATTCTGCCTGATTAAAAAATATGTCTAGAATATTGTGAGCCTGCATAACACACCAATTCTAACCATTTTTTTTATATGTCGACCAAACATAAAATCACTTGCAGGGTTTGGCTATCCAAAGGTACATAAGCACAAGGTGACATCCCTGGGCAGTGCTGTCAGCATCCAACCCATGACATTCTTATTTGTTTGTGGAGGATGGAGGGGCTGGGGTAGCACTTTCAAGTGCTGACAGAATTACACCAAATTTGACAAGTTAACTTACCTAAATAACATGGCTTTTTATAAACAGGCTCAGCCAAAATAAGAGATCAGAAGGTAATGTTTTCCACACAAAGCAATGCAGCCTTTAGACTAGATCTGGATTGAGCCCACATGGTGGGTTGGGCCTGGTCTCCCACCTATGCAATAACCAGTTGGCCAATGCACCCCTCAGGCATGGGAAAAGACAATGTTGTGGCATAAAATATGCAACCTTACAGCCTTTATGCAGATCAGGCTGAGGGCTGACACTGTGTTCTGGAGGGAGAAATTTCAAATAATCATCCCACACAAACACAGGACAGTGGCTTTCCCATCAGCGACACAAACACTGAAGCCTTGAATAAAAGTAATATGATCATGAGGCCACTGACAGGGTAATGAGGAGCATTACACAGATCTGAAGCCACACCTACACCAAGATAGCTCTCACCCAACCACAGCCCTAACCACAAACACATGCCATCTTATTCATGCTCAGAGTAAACAAATCTCATAATGCTGTTAGGTGGGCTTGAAAAAACCTGACAGGCAGCTTTTGACAAAAACAACATTAAAACAACCCAGGTTACTGACTCTATCCCAGTTCATGCATGACAATGATTTATGTAACTGACTTAAGATATTACCTCTTTTTGCATTATTACAGCATTATTAGACCAGCAGTTTTTAAACTAACACAATGATCCATTCCTTTCAATAAAAAACATGTGCTTTAGTGCCTGATTGACAAATAAGCTTGATGGCCTATCCCTGACCAAACACTGCATTAGTTACTAGTCTATGCCACGCAAACACACGCTTTAAAGGGTTTGAATGCTGTGTAACCATCGGCACTACCCTTAACACACATGCAATAAATGCACAACTGATCAAGCGTTCCAAAAACTGTGCCAACCCTACTAAATGCCAGTGCAATCACCATAGCACTGTCATGGACCTGGGCAGAAAAATATCACAAATACCTTGTTCTTCAACCCTGCATGCAACTGTACTAAATATCGCTTGTATTTAACCCGTGATACCAATATGCCACTCATTCATCACTGACACCACCAACGCGCACTGCAATACTAAGGAGGAGTACTAATCGAAGCCCTACACCCAAATTCACAGCACTAGCTGATACAAGGTGGCATATAATGCAGAATAAGCCGCATACAGTACTTTCTACGTCAGAAGCTGCTGTCAACCGTGACGTCAATGAAAATAGAAACGTTCTGCATTTGAAGAAATTTGGGCAAGCAAGATATATCATTAAAAAGCATTCTTGCAACTATTGGTAAGATTTTTCGGTGAAAGATTGTTCCAGACAACAAAAGCTTACTATTTAGTAGGTGAAAGCTCAATACGTCACCGTTTCATTGCGCCAGGGAGCATTTGCTTAACGCCAGCTGTTGTAGGACCTTGCATGGACCGACGCATCAAAATATTTAGATACCTTGGGCAAAGAGCCCTTCGACATTTCGTACCAAGGAGAGAGGCTGGCGGGTGAGATTATATATGTACATTTGACTACTGGAGAGGGTTTTGAATGCAGAGAGAATGCTAGCTGGATTTCTTAATTTCACTACAGCGGCATGGAGGTATTTGTCATCCCGTGAAGAGGGAAGGGACAGAAGGAAGCGTCAAAGGTCAGTATACACCAGTTTTTCCTTGGAGAGTTATGGTTATTAACTCCGTAGCGAAATGTGGCTTTTAAATTGATGAGTCCCTTGGTTATATAGGGGCTTGATCGGGTCACTTTTTTACTTGATATGGTGGTTACTAGGGTAACAAATGATGTTATGTTTTGCACCCCTGTAGTTTTTTTCAAAATGCCAGGTAATGAATGTTTTCATTATATCAGCACATATTTATGTGAATTAAAACAGTTCCAACAATATGTTTGCTAAATGTCAATATAGATAGCACAGAGAGTAGATGCATGATGTGCTGTGGAAGTTATAGATAGGTAGTTAACAAAGTGGCAAGCTGGACTGTCCATAATGCCCAAATATTTGGTTCACAGTATCTTTGACTTATTTTAATATTGTATCTATGCATGCCTTGTAGAACAGATGTTAAACTGGTTTGCACAATGTTCATGTGGATTTAGATGAAGATTGTAATAGTTTGAATGCAAGATTATTGCACCTATTTTTCATGAATAGTTAAGTCATTTATCTATATGTAAGATTAGTATTCCCCTCCTAAGAATGGCAAGTGTCATGCTGTTTGTATGCTCTCACCAATTTGCCACAGTTCAAGGTGGGTTCTTTATTTACATGCCTTATTTGCAGGGAAGAGAGTGATGAAGTTGAGTCTGGTGCACTGACCAAGAGGTTGTGCGCTATGACGGAGAGCCGTATGGCTGGTTCAAGCCATAATGGGACAAGGGACAGGAAAGCAAGTGTGGTTAGCTGCTCTACATCTAGCAATGTAAGCTTGAATTTAATCTTATACTTGCTGAAATGTGTGTGCTCTCAGTGGCTGGTATAAGGAACATTATTTTGCATGCCACATATTAGGTGCAAAATTACTGTCCTTGTCATCATGCCCTGAAACCTTAATAATCATTAGTCACAAACCTACCATTTTAAACCTAACTGTGCTTTTATATGCTTGTAATTTCAGCATAACTACATGAATGATCAAGAACATTGTTAACAATCTTCTTGTGGTCTGTTTATAAAGTCCTCTAGATAAGATCTGATCCTACAGTTTTCCCTGATATCACAGTGGTGCACCAAACTCTTCAGCAGTCTCCCCCAATTCCCCAGCATTCTGCCCATCTCCTACAAGCCTGTCTGGACCTCCAAGCATCATAGCCTACTCCAAGTGTGAGTTCCCTGCCGCAGTCGCCACTGACATGTTGCCTGTGCCGGCATACAGCAGGATTTGGAGCTGGTGGAGCTGGATGCAGAGTGGCCTCGACTCTGCTACCCGCGCCGCCCCGGCCGCCGTCTGACCGACCCGCCGCGTGCACCACTCGCCGCCCGGCCCGCCCCTGGCCAGGTAGGTGGAGCGGAGCCAGCCGCCGTGGCGGAGCGGAGGTGTGGCAGCCTCAAAACCTGCGCTGCATGAGGAGCCCACCTGACTGCAGTGTCGATGTGGTGCCCGGACGGGATGCAGTGTTGATATGGAGCCCGGACGGGTTTGGTGTTGGTGTGGTGTCCGGATGGGGTGTAGTGTTGGCGTGGTGTCTGGACGGGTTGTAGTGTCCGTGTGACGTCCGGACAGGATGCAGTGTTGATGTGGTGCCCGGACGGGTTTGGTGTTGGAGTGGTGTCCGGACGGGGTGTAGCGTCAGTGTTTCGCCGGGGTACGGTGTCTGTATCGTGCTCGATTTACTGTGTGTCCCACGCAAGTCCGAGTACCAAGGAACGACTTAAAGTTGTTTGAGCACATTCAGGTGTGAGTCGTGTCTGAGCCCTGTCCGGGCTGGCTGAGTCGTATCTGAGCCCTTTCCGGGCTGGCTGAGTCGCATCTGAGCCCTGTCCGGGCTGGCTGAGTCGTATCTGAGCCCTGTCCAGGCTGGCTGAGTCGTATTTGAGTTCTTTCCGGGCTGGCTGAGTCGTATCTGAGCCCTGTCCGGGCTGAGTCGCATTTGAGCCCTGTCCGGGCTGGCTGCGTCGTATCTGAGCCCTGTCCGGGCTGGCTGAGTCGTATCTGAGCCCTGTCCGGACTGGCTGAGTCGTATCTGAGCCCTGTCCGGGCTGGCTGAGTCGTATCTGAGCCCTGTCCGGGCTGGCTGAGTCGTATTTGAGCCCTATCGGGGCTGGCTGAGTCGTATCTGAGCCCTGTCCGGGCTGGCTGAGTCGTATCTGAGCCCTGTCCGGGCTGGATGAGTCGTATTTGAGCCCTGTCCGGGCTGGCTGAGTCGTATTTGAGCTGAGCTCTATCCGGGCGTGGCCCGACCGCGCGCGTCGCTGGCCGGCCGCTGACCGTGTGCCCGTGTGACAGAGCCGGCCGGCGGGTTCGCCAGCCTGCGCAGCTTCCGTCAGATGGTGGAGTCTGGCCGCGTGGCCGGCCGCGCCTCGCCCTACCGGCGCCGCCACGGCAAATATTTTCTGGCAGTAATATTGTGATTTTCATATTGTCCTCATCCTCGTAGTCGCCCCCGTGGTCTAGGCGAAAGATGCTGGACTCGTAATCCAGCGGTACTGAGTATGAGTCCCAGAGCGGGCGCTTTGTTGGGCCCGCCTGAAATTGAAAGGTCAGCTGGCAACTGGCCAACAAGGGTCAACCCTAGCCCGGGGCGGCCGTGTCGCAGTATCGTGCGGCACGCAAGACCTTTCGCATTCCTGTCTGGTGCAAGGGCGGGAGCAAAATTATCCGTTCAACTGGACGGTACGACTTGGCTGGTGGGTTCATAGCACATGCAACAAGCTATGCTTGGCAGATGCTCTGAACTCAGAGTCGCCCATGCAAACCATTCGGAATAACTTTTTTGAAAAGTATCACATGACTGCAGCGGCGCGCGAGTGTCGTGTACCCGTCACCAGGTCCCCATCGCGAGGCGTGTTGGATGGGGATGTCACTTTCAGCACCGATGCCTGGTCAGTGGTCTCTGTAGTCCGGGACCCGACCCGAGACGGAGATCTCCGATGACCTTCCGTTCGAAGCTCCACTCCCGACTGTAGACCGCAGACAACCTGATCTCTGTAGTGCGCTCGGGCGGTCCTTCGGTACCTGAGTTCAGCCAGCCAGGTACTACGGCTGTGGAAGGACGCCCGGTGCCGACGCCAGCTGTTTAGCTGCCTTGTTCGTCTCGTCTTTTCGCGTGAAGAATTGCCAGGCTGGTCCCGGTGAGTTATGCATCCCTCAGCGTCAAGCTGAATGTCTGTCAGGCGGCGTCCGCGAAACCCGAGGCCGCCAGCTGACGACAGCCGGGCCTCGCTCTCAGGTGCCGGTCGAGCGCGAGGTGCCGGTGCTCGTGGAGCGCGACATGCCGGTGGTGGTGGAGCGGCGGCCGGTGTTGGCGGAGCGGCGGCCGGCGGCGCCACGGCCCGCACGCTCACAGCCGCCGCCGCCGGCGCCACCGCCGCCGGCCGCCGCCGGCCGTGGCAATGACGACGTGGTGGTAATTGCTGAAACGCCGCCGAAGGGGAGCAAGGCCGGGGAAGCTGTAGGTGAGGTGAAGCTCCCCGTTCTGGGGTGATCCAATTACTAGCCAGCAGTACACTTGCCCGTGCCTTGTGCGCGAGATTCTGTATGCACCATTTTAAGCTTTGACTTCTTTTCCTTTCTGCAGCCTAGGCCTAAACTTTTGCATCCAATGGCGTGTATGGGGTTTGAAGAGGTCTTAAGTGTGAACTTTTTGTGCGAATGACGCCACGTTTGCCTCCTGACGGGCAATGCAACAGGACTGGGCCGTGTGAGCCAGCGTCGGCACGCCGCTCCGGGCGTGGCCCGACCGCGCGCGTCGTTGGCCGGCCGCTGACCGTGTGCCCGTGTGACAGAGCCGGCCGGCGGGTTCGCCGGCCTGCGCAGCTTCCGTCAGATGGTGGAGTCTGGCCGCGTGGCCGGCCGCGCCTCGCCCTACCGGCGCCGCCAGCAGCAGCGCACCGCCACCAAACAGTCAGTTTTTTCCCGTGGCCCGGCCGGGCGGCACCCGGAGGACGGCAGTTGCGTAGTTCACGTGCAGGCTTGGCTTTTGGTTGTGGTTTGTTTTGTTATTAGTGTTGGTGGATGCGATGAGGTTGATTTCCACACATCGTAATCGTTAATATGTGGGCGATCCGCACTGAATATCTGTCGGCATTATCTCAGTATTTGACGGAACTTCGGTGGCATGGTATGGTTGAACCTGTTGGCGCCTTTGAATTCGAGTTTGAGACTGCCCCACTCTGTATCGCTCACCTTTGCTCAACATCGGTTGGGTTCGCTGTTTACGAATCTTATAGCCGATGTGGCATTGATCTCTATCTCCAGGTCGCTCTACGAGAAACTTATTGGCATCATCCCAGCCCGACCGAGCCACGCGAAACGTGGGATGTCGGTTTTGAACGTAAGTAAACTTTTGCCAAACTGCTTCGCCTGTCAAGTGCTTCATAAGACAAACCTGTTTTTGTTTTTATTGTGACGTGCATTGTCCAGCATGCTTCCTGGACAGCATCTGTTGCTAAGTCTGATCAGACCTTACCATGATTGTTCGAGCCCCATGGAGCATGCTCTGCTTGGCTGGTCGGGCTGCGCTGCCGAACGCTCAGGCGTACAAGCCGGCCCACAGGCATGACACGCTGACAGGTATGACATGCCGACAGGTGTGACACGCCCACAGACGTGACAAGCTATTGATAGGTGTGGCACGCTGACAGGCGTGACACGCTGACAGGTATGACATGCTGGCAGGTGGACACGCCCACAGACGTGACACGCTGTTGACAGGTGTGGCATGCTGATGGGCGTGTCACGCTGACAGACGTGACACGCTGACAGGTGTGACATGCTGACAGGCGTGACACGTCCACAGACGTGACACGCTGTTGACAGGTGTGACATGCTGATAGGTGTGCCACGCCGACAGGCGTGACACGCTGACAGGTGTGACATGCTGACAGGCGTGACACGCTGACATGCGTGAAACGCGGACAGGCGTGACACTCTGGTACTCACTCTGACTCTGACTCTGACTGGAATAACACGCTGCAGGTGTGACACGCTGATAAGCGTGACATGCTGACAGGCGTGACACGCTCACAGGTGTGACACGCCGACAGGTGGTGCAATGCTCTTCTGACTGGGTCCTCGCTTCATGCGTGCTGTGCTACTGACCCTTGTCTTAAACATGTTCGCTTGGCGTTCGCAGCGACCCGGACGACAAAGATTATACGCGACGCACCTAAAATATTTGCCGGATGCGTAGGATTTTTTTCTGCGGCTCGGTCGGGGTGCGACTGAAATGGCGCAACAGGTTCAATCATAAAAGGTCAATATGCGTGCCCAGGGCCGATCATGGGTAATGAAAATGTGTTTCATGTGTTCGAAAGAGCATAATTTGCAATTGCCATTTTTATAAGCTCTGAAAGCGCCGGCAAGTAAAAATCTTGTGCCTGTATGCGGTGTTATCGTCACAACAGTCACAAAGATTTCAACGAAAAGCCAGTCGTGCTGCGAATACGCCCGGCAAATATCTGCGTGACGCCTTGTAGAATAGAACCTTCTTGGTGCGCTACAAATACATCCTTGGTTTCTCCTGCGTCGGACATAGCTGGCCTGTGACCTCTGCATCCCCATGCTGCTGCTTGTTGCGGTGAGCCGACGCCCTGTGCCGGTCACGCTTCTGTGTGGGCGCTGCCATCTAATCATGGCGCCGTCCTCTGCAGCCATGTCCCCGTTCGCATCCGCCTCGCGTGCGTCTCACCGCCCGCCACGTGCGTCTCCGACAGTGTTTCCGGCTGGATGAGAAGAAGCGGTACCAGGAGCTGCTATCGGGCTACAGCAGTGTCAGTCCGCCCTCCTCGCTGGCCGACGTCTCCTCCTTCAGGATCAAGGCCGCCATGGCTTCCACGCCGTGAGTGGTCGCGGCAGGCCCGGTCGGGAGCGCTGAATGCGAGGTTGAAGCAGGAGGTCGAGTGGTGGGAGCGGCAGGTCGAGTAGCGGGTGCGGCAGGTCGAGTGGCGGGTGCGGCAGGTCGAGCGGCGGTAGCGGCAGACCGGGCGGTGGGAGCGGCGGGCCGGGTGGCGGGAGCGGCAGGCCGAGTGGCGAGTGCGGAAGGTCGAGTGGCGGGAGCGGCAGGCCGGGTGGCAGGAGCGGCAGGCTGAGTGGCGGAGCGGCAGGTCGAGTGGCGAGTGCGGCGGGTCGAGTGGCGGGCGCGGCAGGTCGAGTGGCGGGAGCGGTAGGCCGGGTGGCGGGAGGGCAGGGCGGGTGGCGGGAGCGGCAGGCCGAGTGGCGGAGCGGCAGGTCGAGTGGTGAGTGTGGCGGGTCGAGTGGCGGGAGCGGCAGGCCGGGTGGCGGGTGCGGCAGATGGAGTGGCGGAGCGGCGAGCCGGGCGGCGGGAGCGGCGGGCGCAGAACCCTGCTGTACAATGTCAGCCGAGTACCTGCTGCTTGCGTGACAGTTTATTCGTAGAGTTCAATCGCCATCAGGGGAGGATTGAGAGGCGTGAGAGAGCAGCTGTCACGTTCATCCCCCATGTTGCTGATGAACGTGTCCTTTGAATCAGTCTGACGTGCCTGAAACTATGAATGTCTATGTCAAACTAAAAGTATGTACGCATGGAATGGGTGCGCCCAGACGGTGCAAATTTCTCTCAGCGTTGTAGTATTTTTTTTTTAGCTCAGGCTGACGTCAAACTTAGTAATCCGTTGCAAAGGTACATGCGTATGCCTGCCATATGAAACCCCATCTTGATATTGCTCAGGTAAGGCTCTTGTAACAAATCCAGGGTCCCTGTTAGTCCATGTGACTATGAAACGCACCAAAAATATATGCTCTTACCTGTGAAACGCTTCTACAGCGAACTGACCAGTTTCCTGAATGGCGTCAGTAGGGCGGGGTGCCGGTGGAGTCGGGCGTGCGCGCGCGTCTGACGCCACCCCCTCCATGTCCGCCTGGCAGCCAGGAGCGGCCGGCGGCGCTGCGTCAGGACGTGCTCGGCCCGGCGGATACGGCCCGACTCCAGCGCCGCATCTCGATCGTCGACCTGGCGTCGTCGGATAGCGAGGCGTCAGCGGCACCGCCGGCGGCGGCGGCGGCGGCGCCCGTCACGCTCGGCTCCAGCAGCAGCGGCTCCGAAGCGCGCCTGGACAGCGCCGGTGGGTGGCGCGCCGGTGCGGGGTGCTGCACGAGTGGGGGAGGCGTCAGGTGGAAGGCTGGCACTGTTCGCGGCTGTGTGGGGTTCGCGAACCTCGCGCGCGCGCTCAGAGCGCGCTGCGTCAGGTGGCGATTGACGGTCCTCGGCGTTGTTGATTGTCCCCTAGGGTGTGGTTGTACTGACCGCTAGATGGCTGATGTTTACAGTTCGAACTTTCCGCTGCAAGGCGCCGTTTGAGAGTGAAGTGTGCCGCATGCAACACACCTCTTTAAAATGCGTTTCCTGTGGATTGACCTAACTCCGACCATTGATTGCCTATGAACGTCGACATGGTAATCTGGGCGTGCTTCGTCGCCGGCTGGGCCACTGACGCCCCAGTCCTTGACGTCCCATTCCATGTCACCAGTCTCCGACTCAGACGGCAGCGTGGTGGTGGAGAAGGTGGTGCCGGCGCCGCCGCGCAAGAAAACCCAGCTCGACGATGAGATCGGCAGGCAGATCAAACACTTCAGTGAGATGTAAGGGCCGGCGCCGGACTCCAGACGCCGCGCAGGTGTGGGTGCGGTGCCTGGCGGCGGGTGCTGCACTCGGACAGGGTCACCTGCGCCGACATAACGCTCCCAAGCTGGCTTTGTATTCCATGCCAGCGCGGTTTCAAGCGATGTGTTGCATCATTCTTTGTGGTCGCGTTAGGTGGACCTTCTGGATGTGCACATTAACCGATAAGGGTACAAACCGATAACGTTCTTAGTCCATAGTATTAAGTGATTTGTGCCCTCCACGTCCAACTGCGTAATCATGAGTCACGCTCGCCGCAACAGTCAGTGACGGGGCTCCGCTTTATCATCGGGCGCGGACAGGAGCTTGGAATCTGTATTTGGAACACCGAACTTATTATTTCAGCTAGGACTAGCAGACTCGCTCACCAACTGTCCGCTGTCGTTTGCCGCCGCCGTGTCTCGCTCTGCACCATTGTTCTGCCTCTATAGGTGGTCGCCGTGGCCCGCTGGCAGCGAATCGGCCGAGTGTACTCGTTCGTCTCTGAGCCTTTGCTGCGCCTGGCGTTCGCCCGGCTGCCGTTCCCATGCGTCGCTACGTTCTCGCGGTCAGAGACTCTGACGCGTCACTGCGTCCTGCCCGCGTGACGGTCTGACCCGCCGCCCCGGCCGCCAGCCGCGAGAAGTACGCCGCCTCGGAGCGCGAGCGCGAGCGACAGATCCGGGAGGAGGAGCAGCGCGTGGCGCTGACGCGCGACGGCCAGCTGCAGTGGGAGCGCGGCCTGTCGGAGCGGATGCGCCGTCAGATGCGGCTGACGCAGCGCGTGGCACTGGAGGCCGAGCCCGAGCTGGAGGACGGGCAGGAGGAGGAGGAGGAGGTGCTGCCCGAACTTACAGCCGAGATGGAGGTGCGGTGGCGGCGGAGGCAGTGGCTCGGCGCTGGCGGGGTTGGGGCGCGGTCGGTGTGTGGGCGTTGGGTGCGCCCGTCCAGTACCCATGCTTCCCCTTGGTGCGGTGCATTGGTTGGTACGACTGCCCGACATGCCTTTACAGTAAGACCGTTCATGTCGAACGTACATTTGAATCTGCTTGCATTGACCGTGCTGACTACCGTTTTTGAAACGGCCCGCGCATTGTCAGCATAGGCAGAATGTCGCCACCGGTGGGCACCTGAAGCAGACGGTGGCTGCAGACGGCTGACCGGCTGCCGCCGCCAGCGGAAGCCGCGTCAGCCGCGCTGGGTCGCGGTCTCGGTTCCTGCCGGTCGCGGCGTCGTCTCACCTCCGACTCGTGCCGACCGGCAGAGCACGATCTCAGCGGCGCTGCGGCCGTCGCCGCCGACCGAGCTGCTAGCGGAGGCGTTCAACCAGCGCATCACCCGACACGACCTGCAGACGCTGAAGGGACTTAACTGGCTCAACGACGAGGTGCGGCCGCCACGGACGGCTCTGTGGCGTACTCGGACCATGGGCGCCATGTGACTCGGGTCATCAACGTCATGTAACTGGCCATGGGTGTCATGCGACCAGGGTAGTCGGCGCGCCATGAGGCCCAACTCATCATCATCATCGTGGTCACGTACTCGGGCCGGTGCTGCAGCTGTGTGAATTGGGCGCTGGGTGTGTTGTGGATTATGCCCGGTCCTGTGGGACAAGGCGAAGCGAAATTGGTAGAAAAGTAAATGAGTTGTAACATGCCTATGTTGTGTTTTGGGGTATTACTGGTCATTTTCTGTGTTGTTTGCTCATTCATTTTGTTGGCTTAAGACGTGATGTTTCGTAAATGTATTTGTACTGGTGACAGTCATTTTGTTGGCAATGCTAAGTTTTTGCTCGTCCGGCTGACCTGAAACTCAGTTGACCTTCACTTGGGCGGTGAAACAAGGTAGAGCTAATTTCCTTCGTGACCAGGATTTATGGTGTCCTTGGTTGCTCATAGCAGCAGCATCCTAACATAGTGGCGTTCCCTTGTCCCATAGGTGATCAACTTTTACATGAATATGATCATGGAGCGAAGCAAAACGGATAACAGCAAGCTTCCCAAAGTGTACTGCTTCAACACGTTCTTCTATGGCAAGATTGTGTCGCAGGGCCACAGCTCGGTGAAACGATGGACCAGGAAGGTATGAAACGACGAGCGAGCGCCGGGCACGGCCACTGACTGATTGCAAACACACCGCTCGGGTGTATGGGCTGCAGTTCTGTAATGCTGGCCTTCGTCGGCACCGTCGGCACTGACGTTCTATGAATAATGTCGCCTGGGTCGTCTGTCGCCCGGCCTGCTGGGGACCGAGCCGTCTGACTCGGGCGCCGCCGCCAGGTGGACGTGTTCGCGTACGACCTGCTGCTGATTCCCGTCCACCTGGGCATGCACTGGTGCCTGGCCTGCGTGGACCAGCGCAAGAAGACGGTCCGCTACTTCGACAGCATGAGCGGCAACAACAACAAGGGCCTGGACGCCATCCTGCGCTATCTGCGCGACGAACACGCCGACAAGAAGAAGCAGCCGCTCGACACCTCGGAGTGGGCGGCTGTCAACGAGAAGGTGCGCTCACCGACTCTGCGCGCGTGGGGAGAAGCAGTTGGAGTTCACGTCTGTTTGGATGCTGGTGTCCCCGTAACGGGGTGATAAGCAGGAGAGGCGTCTGGTAACGGCTTCTGTGGAGTCTGGCGGGATCTTGTCGCCGTTTTTTTTTTTTTTTAGGCGCTTAGGGGTTTTGGTCAGGGCGTTCAGGATTTGGGATCATTGGCTGCCGAGCTATTCGTGGCTGAGTTTAGTCGCATGTAACTGATGCCAGACGGAGGGCTCCTGTCCGGCGGAGCCGGAGCCGGCACCACGGGTCCACCTTGGATTTTTCCTCTACATTCGCCAAACCAGGTGTTCCCCTCCCCACCCCTTTGGTCGGCACGCAGCACTGCAGATTCTGCCGCGCTTTTCGGGACAAGGACTGATGGCGACGAACCATGCCTGCTTCGGGTGTAACTGGAGTCAAGCTTGGCAGATCTGTGCGTTTTGTGTTACTCGCGGCGTAGTGAATGCCTGGAGCTTAAGCGCTTGACGATAAACAGACTTGCGCTTTACAAGATGTGTGGTCCAGCTTGAATAAGTGTCACGGTCACATGACTCAGTACTTCCATGTAAGGGTCTTGTGAACTTGGTGTTCCATGTTGTGAACAAAAATGGTGTGGTGCCTAGTGCTGACCGTGCTGACCCTAATGACGATCCGGTGTCGACCTTGGTGCCACAGGAGATCCCGCAGCAGATGAACGGTTCCGACTGCGGCATGTTCGCCTGCAAGTTCGCCGAGTACCTAGCGAGGGACGCGCGCATTAACTTCACGCAGGAGGACATGCCTTACTTCCGGCGCCGGATGGTGTACGAGATCATCGCCAAGACACTTCTCTAGCTCGCAGTGCGCCGCCGGGTCAGCCAGAGCGCTGGCGCTGCGACCGCGGCAGAGTCGCAGTCCGCCTGCAGCCGTCTGTAGCCTCCAGCACGGCGCGACCGGCACAGGCCGCTCGACTGGCGCGTCGGATCTGGCGCCGGCCGTGCCAGCCGTGGCAGGCAGCGGAACGCGGCGTCGAGGCGCGCCTGTCACCTCAGAGGAGGCTCACCGGCGCCCGGCGAGTGCGCGGCACGTGACCACCGCCGGCGCCGGGTCGGCGTGAGCCTTGAAAGCGGTGGTGGGGTGGACGCACTGTGGCACCGGCGGCACGGGGCTGTCGCCCAGCTGGGCCCAGTCGTCCGCAGGCCTGATCCCAGCTCGGTCGACGGCGGGGTGGCGTGACTGCCCCTGCCGGCGGCGGGCAGGGCGGGAAAGAGTACAACGGAGGCGGACGGCCCGCGTAGTCGCCCTGGCGTAGTCGCCCTGGCGGACGGCCCGCTGCTTGGTCATGGGGATGGTGGCATAGATTCCCGACGATTTTGGTTTGCTGATTGTCAAGGTGGAGCAAGTGCAGCGAAACAGAATTCACTTGTTTGCCTTGATGTTAAGGTCCCGTAGGAAAACCAGCTAGCTTGTCGTTCTCGCTCATGCATTGTCTATGTGATGCTGTTTACCTTCGGAAAGGATTTAAGTGCTCCTGGTGTCTGTGCAAAAATACTTTGGCGATGCTTGTAATCATCTGGGTCGTATTTTGACTGGTGTCATAACCTTCTTTTGGCCGGTGTCATCTTCTGGGTTTTCATTGAGCCATCTGTTTGGATTGTTATGCTTTGCTCTGCGCCGGCTAGCAAACCTTGGGTTTCTTGCCGTAGAAGGAGCCCTTGTCATGTGCGGCCACTGGAAAACGACCTGAAATATACGTAGTTTCATATACACGCACGTTTTCCAGTCCATATGGCTGGATACCTGTTTGTTGCTCTGGCATTGCACGCGTATTCCACCAGACAATAGGTTAAGTCAATGATAATGGTTGCTGGACATTTGAAAGACACCGAGTTCACTTGGCTGTTTCATAAATGAACTCGGTTGTCAACCGTAGTTGGCGGGTTCGGCGAACAGCGGTTCGACAACCACGAAGGTATCATAACCACCCACGAGATCTAGCTGTGGCAGAACCTGATTCCCAACGTTGGTCGCTGGAGCGAGAAAGCGGCACACCCCCGCCTACGGGCGCGTGCCGTCGCTCGCTGAGCAATCGCCCCGCGGTGTTTCACCAGCATCAGCCCTTTTCTGCGCCGCGTTTGCCACGTGTGGTTCGCTCGACCAGCTGGGCCGGCTTTTCGCGAGGTAAGTCAAAATTAATTTGATATTCACCCTATTTTGTTCGCGGGCAAGTCACATTTTAGTATCATCTGTCAATTCACCTGCGTTGACTACGCGCGGCGGCGCCGCACGCCATGCGTCGGCGCGTGCTGGATACGGCTCACCTCACGTGTTGTAGCGATCTTGCGTGCCCCCTGGCTTGCCTTGCCCGACTTAAGCCGACGATACCATTGCGTCAGGTGCTTGTGGGAAGACAAGCGGTAGTGCAACATTTTGATAGCTGACTCGTTGGTGACGACTCTGATCAGTCATATTGGGAAAAACTGCTTTGTGTACTATGTGTAGGCCATATATACACTGCTTGCCGCATCAACATTGAGGGACTACTGGCTGGGTGAGGCCACGGTATATGTTGCTGATTAGGAGGCTACATAATAAGAACCCATCTATGTGGATTGTGTGTCATGACATTTTCATCAGCCTATTAGCTAACCCATTAATGTATTGTGAGCTATTAGTTTATATATTGATGGGTACTCATGCTGTTTTGTGCTTGCTTTATGCAGTTGGTTATGCAATGTTTGATAGTCAAGAGGTAGCACTTACTCAAAGTTGTATTATTTCACAGTGCAGCATTATTAAGGTGAAAACCAGGTACCACAATACTACTTTGGAAAGTCTTGCTGAAATGGGTCATGTTACACATATTGAAATGCCTTGATGGTCTGTGTTTCAAATATCTTGTTCCCATGTAACATGAAGTGTCTCAAATTGGTTCTCTTCATCCTATGTAGAACTACAATTAGAATAGGTAGAAATGCCTCAAGATCATGCATACTGGCAGTTAAGGTGTGACATTTATGAAGTTGTTTGTGCTAGGGCATGATATCATATAACCTGTTGTAAGGTTTGAGGTATATTATGGAAATTGCATTTGAAGGCTCCAAATCTTTTCAAACCAACATGCCTGCATGAATCATATTTACCTTTGGTGAATATGATTGGTCTGTAAGACCATGTGTTCATGTACTTCATGCAAGAGCCATTACTATTGCCTTATTTTAGTTTTGAGACCTGGGTATGGTATGATCTCACTCCAGACTAGGGCTGATGTAGTTGATGCTAGCCATGTCAGGTTCACCCATAGTCATTTGCAATAATGTGAGTGAAATATCATCCACTGATGCACTATTTGAGTGCATGCAGCCTTTTGTTCTGATAAAATGAAAGATGTCTGCAAACTAGACCTTGGGTTGGTTCCAGCTCCCAGCATAGAGCCACCAGCTACCATGTCTGCGACTGAAACCGGCGCCAGTGTGCGGCGCACCTTCATTGACTACTTTAGCAAGAAGCAAGCCCACACCTATGTCCACTCATCCTCAGTCATCCCATTTGAGGACCCCACACTGCTGTTTGCCAATGCAGGGATGAACCAGGTCAGTAAGATTGTTAAAGCTTGAAACCTGCATCCATTTTAGCAATTTTCTTTTTTACTGATTCACATCAGCCATTATGTGGCTTATGATGTTTGGACCCAGCTACCTCAACACAGTCTGTCTGCGCCATTTCTCTTAAGTTGCAATCATATGATTTTGCACTGCCTGGTAAAGATCACCATTTGCAGTTGGCCTATGTTGTCCTAACCCACCTTCCTCAGTGTCTGTGCCTAACCTCTGCCTGACCTGCATTGGTCCACCTGCCAGTTCAAGCCAATCTTCCTGGGCTCGGTGGAGCC